GAACAGTTTTTCTTTTTTTCCCCTTAATTTTGTTTTTTTTTTTTTTTTTTTTTTTTTGCCCAAGCCAAAAGTGGTATCTTAAATAAGTGGTGTGCAAAGACTTGGGTAGTTAGTTACACTTGAAATTTTCCCTGTATTATTTCTGACAGATTGGTATTGCTGCATAGTGCCTGACATAAGATGTGTGACACTAGCAGCTATTTCAAGGTTTAGGAAACCAGCTGATTGTGGACTGGGACTGGGCAGAAAAGTAGAATTATTTTTGAGCATTGAGACAAGAAATTACTTAATAGAATATCCATCCAAAAGCCAGCTCGCAGGCATCAAGCCCAGGTTAAAAAAAACAGGTCCACTTTATAGAAACTACCAGGGTTAAAAACTTGATTCTGACAATATTTTAACAGAAACCGCTGTGTCTCAGTAAAGTAGAAGTGCTGAAAATCCTCTGTGTTTCAGTTTCCTTGCTGCACTTTGGAAAAAGATTTGTACTTACTCTTATCTGCAATGCGATAGCCACGTTTCTCCTGTGTGGAGATACTAATTGTACATTATTTTACCTTTGTTACTGATGGCTTCGGGATGGAGTAGGGCTAAGAGGTAAGCGCTTATATCACAAAGAGAAAATCCAGCAGCTCCCTCGCAGCCTTCAATACACACCCCCTCAGTGAATAACTCCAGAGTACAAAAAATAACCTAATAAATCAGTGTTCCTTTTAAATAAACAGAATTAACTTGTCCTAAACATTTCGGATGACAAATAAGGAATAACCGAGACACACAGTGCTGGCAATAAGCACGCGACTGCCTGAGCACACAAAACCCACAAGAATGCTAATGGTTTTTAAGCGCTGTGGGGAGGGGGAGGGGAAGAAATATATTCGTTAAAAAGCCCGGTTCAGCTCCTCGGGTGGTAGACAGTGATGCGGCGCCACTGCAGACTTAACTGGTACAGCCGCCTTGCGAAAGGTCTCCAAAAGAACAGGCACCCAAGTTCCTCAGATATGCCATTGTTTCAAATACGCATCGTATAACTCGGACAGTATTTTGTTTATTGGAGGACCAGGGCGGAGAGGTGGGGAAGCCGCAGGAACAAGAGCATCACTCTGCGCGGGCCAGCGGGCAGCGGCAGAGCCTCCTCTCCGCCAACAGGCTGAGGCGGCTGCTGATGAATTTGTTGGTCTCTGAAGACCGTCTCACTTGAAATCAAACTCACTTCTGACCTTTTCTCCGAGCAGCAGGACAACGAACTGTAACGCAACTGTAGTCAAACAGCACACGAGGACATTCCTTTTTTTTAAACGACTGTTTTATTCAAGAACTATTTATAAAAATGTGTAAAATACACTCAAATATATTTGCTTTGTTGACTGCAGCTAAAAATATAAAAATAGACTTAACAAATGCATAAATTAAATTGACAATAGTAGCACAATTTGGTGTTCACCCAGCATTTGTTAGGAACACAAATGTAATAATTATATAGCATTTGAGAATGGAATATGTACTGAAGATGTTTTTCAGTTGCTTTACTCCAGGCACAGGCAAAATATTAATGGCTAGCCATATTTCAAAAGCTTTTTTTCCTCCCCCCCATCTTTACTATAACATACTGCCCTTCTAGAGAGCAATCTGTATTTAGCTAGTTGATTTACAGCATTTCTTTAGCTTGCAAATAAATTCAACCAAATCTTGCATATCAATTTACCAGCATCACTGACGCTGTATGTGCCTGAACTCCACAGTATTTGCTAAATTTAGCTACTCCCTAGTCGCCAGTAATTCCTACCAGTCTTAAAAAAAGTCCTAGTCTGCGTCAGCTATTGATCTGCGAGGTCATTAATAACAGACCACTTTGCTTTGGCCACGGTGGTGCTACCAACAGGTCAGGAGTTTGACTTTGCCAGCTGGAGAGGGATAGTTGAGGGCGTTGGGTCCACGGTGAGCTGCCTAAATACAGCGGTGCACGCCCAGCTTTTATTCAAAGTTGCAGCCTCCTGGGACATCAGGTCCCAGAGCGCACAGCTCAAGCGCCAGGAAATCTGTGACAGAGCCGCCAGGGAAGTGGTTGTCATTTAATATTGCATTTTAATCACACAAAACTGTATGGCTGAATGAGATAACGAATAAACGTAAGCACCCGACATGCCACTCCTGGGTTGTGAAGCGGCAGCTGCTGTAGGCTGCATCTTTGAACGTCAGGCGCGTTTCTCCAACCTGTGACCCTGGGAGGAGATGCTAATATAGTGATTAGATGGTTATTGTCCTCATCGCCTCAGCCCACATAGGCTGAGGAGCATGGCTAAGTGCTGATGTACTCCTATCTGTCTAGTATTTAACTTTTCGATTTCTAAGTCAAAGCATAGATACCAGTATACAATACATAATATAGACATAGAGCTCACACGTTTTGTTTTCTCTGTCCTACAACAGAAAGGAAATTCATAATATATCATGGCATAAAATAATATTTCTGGCAATATTAGGCACGCATATAAGCTGTATAAATAACTATAGCAGCAGAGAAAAACGTATAAAGTTGCACTTTTATGACATCTTCACAGTATGCCTATTTCTCTCACCCACTTTTGTGTTTCGTTAGTAACAAAAAATATCATTTATCAACCCCAGCTATGCAAAAATTTTTTTTTCTTCTACAATCGGTAGTGGATCTTGTAATTGTATTGCACAGATTAAAAACATTAATTACAATTTTTTCATTATTAAATAACTTTCATTACAAAAATTTGAATTAACCTAAAAGCCCAACCCTGTAAGTGCTTCAGAAGTTGAATGATATTTTCAAGCTTTTTTCATGTTGACTTTCATTGAAGTACGCAGGCAGCTTCATGGACAACGCCGAGAAGTCTGCATGTGCAGAGAGTCACAGGACTGGGCTCCAATTGTGCAAATCTTAGCTTATGGATCAGCAATAACACTAGCCTTGCTTTGTAACATTATTATTGGGAAATATCAAGAAGGGAATCCTGAACATCATTCGCAGACATTCAAAATAGAAATATCCTCTTCAGCGGAGGATGATTTTTTCTTAAGAGTAGTCTTTGTTCAATACACAGGCTCCTTCAAGTCCATTCTTGTTACATTAACAATTTCCCATCGGTCCTGTTATTCAGCTTAGAGGCACAGTAAATATAATTAATTATAGTGATAAGTAGGTGTCTTATATTAAAAAAAATGCTACATAGATACTTGTTATTTATTCTCAGTGGATTTACACTGGTTTCATATGACCAGAAGAGGGTAGAAAGCAGAACCAGAACAACAATGTGTGCGTACAGTCTCATATGTGACCTAGCTAGGCAGAGACGTAAAGCTGTTCGGGAGCATCGTGTCAGGGTGTTTAAGGTCGTTGGTTGCATTACTAAGTGACGAGGAGGAAGACACTTATGAACTATGTCCATTTTTAGCTGAGCGAAAAGATGAAAATGGCTGTCTGCTACAACTCCATTTTGGGTGCAGATTTGTGAAGTCTGTAGGGGCAGAGGAGGGAGCTGAGAAACAATGTTAAAATAAAAGAGTAGAACCATGTGTGTCCTTCTGAAAATGATGAACGCCATACGCACATCATATACAACCACTGACTTTTGCCCTCAGATCACATATTACTGAGCGAGTTCCATTTCCCTCAGCATAAAAAATAACCCAGTAATATACAGTGCTAGATAATTTATAGAGTACATTTGGTATATCTTCACAGTGTAATTGCACTACTGGTAACTAACGTGGTGATTTTTATTCCTCAGCTATTGCTGCGAAAAGAAATGACTAAGCGCAGTGCATGTAACACAGTGACCATATGCACAATACCCTAAGTTCAGCTGCTATTGCTAGAGTAAAAGACCTGAAGCTGCCACCCTTGTTTGTCCTTCCTTGCTAACCTAGTTTATCTAGCAAAAAGAACAAAGGAAAAAAGGGCCTGCAAGAAAACTTGCACATTTTGTGGTTTTGCCTAGCCTTCCCTATGTGAGAATGGCTTCCACTGTAATGCCATCCCCTTCTTCTTCAGATCTCATTAAGGGATTGTGGTGAATCTTGAGGTTTATGTGGGGGCAAGAGGGATGTACAAGAGGCATGAGCAGTGTTTTCATACAGAGACATCCAAAACGTTAACTGAGCCTACAGGTTCTGAGCAGCTGTGAAAGCTGATATCAAGGTTGGCTTTTGAGACATCTGAGGATATTTGGTCAGGAATGGAGGAGACTCCACTGGAATATGGAGGAAGAGGGATAGCCTACTCTCTTTACTTCTCTCTAATAAAACTTGACCGACAAGGATGCACGCATGCCTGCTGGCTCTCTTTCGGAAAAATTTGAAGAAAACTATGTCAGATCAGCCCTGCAAATGTCTTCATCCATTGTCACGCAGGTGTTTCTAAAGCAAGGAGAGCATAGCTCCAATAAGCTATGGTGAAATCACAGTGGTCTTGGCCCAGTAGCCACAGTAGTCATAACTTAGGCACTTAATTTAGGTGTATTGGTTGGTTCTCTGAAGGCCTTCAGAAACATTTATTTCTCTTCACAATAAAAGTGGAATTTAGGCACTTGCCTTCTGCAGCAGGCCAAGTTTTCTTTCAGTAAAAAATGAGTAGACAGGAAAAAGCAGAACTACTGAGCCCTTCCTTCTTCCTGTGATGGAGGTGAACTGTGTGATGCTTCTTTTTTATTCATTTGAAGAGATCTTTATAAAGAAAAAGAAGAGCAGAATGGAGTGTTCAAATCACAGTCCCTGGAGTAGAAGCCTTGCTGCAGAGGAAAGAGGCTGTGTCTAATTGCCTTGGCTGAATACCTGGAGGTGCTCTCGGATCATATTTCTTGCTAAGCATTAGATGTTTTGAGTGCATCCAATGATTAGCACAGCCCTGCAAGCCTACATCCCTTGGGTTATAGATGGGCCTTTTCCTATTCCATCTGTGGTTGTGGTGATCATGTCAGGCAAAATTCAAGCTGAGGAGTCTTTCTGTGGGGATGTGCTGGGACCATTCCTGGAAGAGCAAAAGCATGTGGGATTTGGAGGAGATCTGCAGTTGGGCTGAGACGAGGGCTTTACCCTGCAGCAGGCTGTGATGAAGGGAGTGTGCTCCCAAGCACAGTATCAATACAGGCAGAATGACCAAGGAACAGCTCGGCTGCAAGCAGCTTAAGGCTGAAGCCAATTGTGTAAACTCTAGGATATATGTCTTTATAAATCTTTATTTCCTTAATATGCTTGTAATCTTTCTATTTTTTAAGCTGCCATGGTACGGGATTTTTTTTTAAATGAGCAATAGAGGTTGCCAGAGTTTGTATCCTCACAGATCTGTTCATCTGAACATATGAGGCATTTCCTTGAACTTCTTTCATATTATAACTGTACTCAAATAAAAACATGCAGACACAGGCTGTGGTCTGATTCTGCTCTCTTAAACCAGTGTAAAGAAACCAGAAAGTGACCTGTGTCCCCTCAAAGCATGCGTGTGGGGAAAGGCCTTACTAAACTTCACGGCAGCATGTGTTGTTTGATATTTTTCTACTACGTCATATTAGACTGAAACAATTGCTTTTAGTGAGGTGGACCCTGTTTTATTTGGCTGTTGATGAGTTCTGTAAAAAGTATGTCATAGTATTATGGATTTCACCCTTTTTGGTGAGATCACAAGCAGTAAGTTTAAAGTGTAGAGTAGCATTGTAATTCCTATACAGGACTACCGTTCCCTTGCTTAATAGTAGCTTATTTCATATCACAAACACTGAAGTAGGAAGGAAAAAAAAAAAAAAGGCTCTCCTTATACCAGTCTTCCTGTGTGTTACGTGCCAGTACATAACCTGTCCCAAACTCAGCAGTCCTGTTAGCCATACAGTTTAAAATATTAAAATAGTTTACGTAGAACAGTGTATAAAAACTGTGATAAGAAAATAATAGCATTATCTGAAGCTTAATATTATTATAAACATTATAGAAAAAATACATATTTACATAATGCCAAAATACAATTATATACATTAATATCTATTACATTTAAATTATAGATCTTTAAAAAAATCACCAGACCAATAAATTATACACAGTTTCAATAGAAAGGTCTGGCACCTTTCTAGTGCATGAAATACATATATTAAAAAAAACAAACAAAACCCCTAGTTAACAAATGTGGTCACAAAAGTAGATGTCTGTAACATTCTTAGTGCCTTGAATAAACAGCATCTGAAAGCAAGGAAAACTGAAATTAGAAAAAAAAAAAAAAAGGTGGCTTTACTTTAATCTCTGCCAGGTGACTATAGTGCTCTGAAAGGGGAGTGTGTGTCAGCAGCGCTGACTGGTGATTGACATGACAACTAAAGAGCAGACCCCAACTCTACTTTTGCTAGCAGCCCTGACTTGTACAGCTCTGGTTATTTCATCCCTTGGCCTCTTCCAAGTCTGCTCTACCTGTTGATAACAACTCTCATTTCTAAGGCTAGATCAAGAAAATTATTTTGATCCCTCATCATATTACCTAGGTTCCCAATATCCAGCTTTGAGGACCTCCTGAGATCCTGCTTCCAAGCCTGAAAGCTTCTACAGCCTTTGGGGATCAGCTCTACCAAGTGATGCAGCCCACCTCTGCTTACAGCTTCTCCTGACTCGTCCTCTCGCCATGGGAACAGGGGGTGGCAGGCAGTGCCAGGCTTGCCACTCCTGCCCCTGGCAGCTCAGGGCAGGGATAGGTGAGGGTGAGGTGATGACTACCGTTCCTGGAAGGCATCTTCCCCTGCTGTTCAGCCCCTCTTCAGCAACAGCAGCTACTCCAGCTTTCCAGGGCTTTGGCTTAGGCCAGCAGTGCTATAACATTTTGAAAGACTAACTCCTGCTAGGAACATCCAACAATTAGATGTTTAGGACACTCTTCAGGGAAACAGCAGACCTCTATTCAATACTGGCTGTAAGGAGACTCATGGGCTATCTCCATGACTAGGTTCAAGAGCACTTCTCAAAGCCTAGGACAGGGCACGTGGCCTGGCTGTGCTTCCAGTGCCAACTGGGCCGGCTGGAATCTCCTTTTCTCTACAGCCACAGGAAAAAAAGACTTGCACTACATCCTGGAGCTGTAATGCGCTCCAACAGGTCATTCAGGACTGTGGTGCCCCAAAGATGTAACTGAGATGTGGCCACAATGGCTTCCTCTGCTCTCCCCTTGGAAATAAGACCAGGCTTCCTGGGCATCATTATTTCAAGTTCTACACGTACAGGGAGCCTGAGTACCAAACAGGATGAGGGTTTTCAGGCAGCAAGGCAGGCTCTACAACACTAAAGTCTCTTTGTGAGTATAGCTTTAAATTCCTATCCCTAAGGGACTGCATACAGGCTAGGAAAAAAGGCCTATAAAGGATAGAGAGTTGCAGGAGGAGGAAAGACTACACACTTGGACACCTACATAATCCACTTAAAGCAGGCGGAAAGTCTCCTAAGGCTCCCTATACAGTCAAGAGAAAATGAAGGTGATTCAGGACAAAAATCTAACTCCGTCAATGACAGAAGAGATCAGGGAGCCCAGCCAGTGGCCTCAGTATGCTTAAAGGTGAATGGTGTAAACACTGGTGAGGTAAATGAGGAAGCCAATATTTTGACAGGAAAGGGGTTCAGTTTCCCTAACAGTATAGGAATCATGAATTTTGATACAGGGAGAGCATGGAGGTAAGATAAGAGCAGGAATAAATGTTATTCTGACTGGTAGTGGAAGAATTAAAGCTAGAGGTGCGGAAATTTGGTGGGGAAGTCCCTTGAGAGGAAGATGAAGTTGCAAGAGTGACAAGAACAGAGCAGTGAGGAAACAAAGCCCCCTCAATTAAATTGTCCGTGAGTTATTACATTTAAAATGTTTTACAATTTGATAAACTTGCACTTACCTCTGTGATATTCTGGATTCACATTTTCATATATTGGAAACAAGGGATTTTCTTGTTCACTGCGTAGTTTTCTGGCTCTTAACACATCTCTCACACATTGATGCAAATACACATACTGACACTGCAAAATAGGTTGTAATTTTTTTTTTTTTAAGTCACACTGGGAAATTCTGTAATTTTATTTGCTTTACTGTGAAAAATGATTCCAGGCTAACTCCCTCGCACTGAAATAAGGGTGGTATTTAAAATGAATACATGCTTCTAGAATTAATCTCTTGTTCACACTGGTAACATAGTTATCTTTTTCATGATGGTGCATACAAGAAGTATTTCTTTCTACAAAATAAGCTACTTTATTCTTTACTAAATATCATCTGCTCTTAGAAATTTACAAATATAAATGAATATAGTATATTTTGACTGCTCATGTCATGACCGGAAGCTGTATCAATTGTAAGGCATAATTTGACACAATGCTGCGTTGAGTAGCTACTACTATTGACATGCTTTGATATAACATAATAGAATAAATATGAATATGTTCAGGGAAGCACATAGAAGACGTGCTAAATAATTTCCTGATTTCTTTTTCTAAAAAATATTTTCCATAGAATTAGATCAAAATATATAAAAATTTCACAGAACTTTGGTGAACCAGAATCTTCTGGAGAAAGCAGTATCTTTTGATCCAATATAAGTTATAAAACTGCCTTTGACTCTATGGGGAATGACACACTGTTCTTTCTGAAGAGTGCCTTTCAGAAGAGAGCTAAAATGACATTTACAACCAATGTTGGGAGGGTCAGCATGATGTTATCAATGTACCAAACTGCCTTTATAGAATAGATTGCTAAATCCCCATGCTTTGCTATATGCATTATGGGTCATGAAACAGGTGATTAGCATTTTGAGATGAGTGTAGCATGGTACCCGTAAATTAGCCTGGGCAAGTGAACATTTTTGTATATCAAGGTGTATCTTGTTCATATTATTTTATCTCTCAGTCGTAATTTCTCCAATAAGCATATTCACTTCCTCCACCACATCTTCTAATCATTTTTCACAGGAAATTCAGTTTTTGCTCTGTGCACTTTCCTCTAGTGTTCTAGCTCTAGAAGAGGCCTGCCGTTCCGCACATATAGCTGCTGTCTCTTTAGACGAAAGACAGATCCAAATCAGAAAAACTGTATACAGATGCAACCCACAGCTCTGATTAATAAGCCTTGCTGAGAGTAGAGCAGCTCACTGGCTGTGCCCTGACACAGCTACATGGTCACTAGGCATGATGTGGCGTAAGTAGGGTGAGCATGGGTGAGCCGCAAAAGCGTTCTGTCAAACTGTCTCTGGGATGCTGCTTGTGAATTTGTGGGCAGGACTGGTTACAACAGGGATTTGAGCAGGGCTTGAACCAGGGCTGCTTTCAGGCAAAAGCGCACGTAGTGCTGGTAGTGGGATGCTACTCGTTATTGCTTGGGTCTGGCTGCCTTTGGAGTTGTATCTCATGTCAAGGTGATGCCAAAGATGGGTTTCATATCACGTAACTCTGGTTGTCTATAAGCTTGGCGTCAAATCTAGGCTCTCAAAGCAGTTGATAAAGAGGCAAGAAAATGCCTTTTTTCCAGTACTCAGATAGGAGTTTAGGCTTGGGGAAAAAAGCCACCCTCCTGAGAAGCCTGTCTGCCTTTGCTGACTACGGCTGGCGGGGAACGCAGAGGGTGAGATGGATCCGTCTGGGATGCCCAGACCAGGCTGAGAACCTGTCTCACCTCAGAGAGGAGGTTTTCTGTGGTTAAGACAATTCCAGGAAATCTCTCTCTTCTACACTCCCTATGGCGCCTCTCTTTATACCCGTGTGTGACTTTTACATCTATCAGGAAGCTCAGCCACTGATGTTTTTGTTTCCAAATTGCAACAAAGAGCTCCATTAGTATCAAGCTACAGGCAGACCCATCAAACCTATTCTAATTCCTCTATTAACAGTTCACAGGGAAAACGTACAGACTGTCTCCACAACTCTCCCTTGTTAAATCATCTCCTAAGTGTTTAGCTGCTATTAGCTTAAAGTGATTTTCTTACACTTTTAAAAGCACAGAAAAAATCCCAAACATTTACTTTTTCTGTACTGCTAGAACATATGTGCTTTCCTCTGCATAATGTATTAGGAGAAGACTGATCAACTTTTCCAGTATCATTAATGAAAGATGAACAGAGCAGCTCAATAAAAAAAGAACTGCAAAGCCACAAGGTCAGTGTTGGAGTTTTAAAATTATAAACATTTAAATAACTCTTTCTGCCTGTCATTCCTTTTTCCTTTTATGTCTATCTATTGGTCACTGTGAGGGTGACAGAGCATTGGAACAGCTTGCCCAGAGAGGTAGTGGAGTCTCCTTCTCCGGAGATATTCAAAACCCGTCTGGATGTGATCCTGGGAAATATGCTTTAGGTGACCCTGCTTGAGCAGGGAGGTTGGACTAGATGATCTCCAGAGGTCCCTTCCAACCTAAACAATTCTGTGATTCTGTGATTCTGTCTGTTTTAGGGTTGCCTTCCAAGCCCATCCCCAATGGAGATATCTCTTTTTAGAGCTCGTTTAGTGGACATTTCACTAACAGCACAATGCGCTGTTAAATGTCTTCTGCATTACACTGCCAGGTTGATTGCGATCCAGTGCTAGTGGGAGAAATCTACAGAAAGCATAGCTACCTCTTGCTAGTGTTTGGACCTTCTGTATGAGAACCAATAACAACAATCCTGAAGTAGAGATTCTCACAGAGCTAAAAATACATCTAACCTGTATTCCACAGTGGAATAACTGCGAAGTGCTTTGCGAGCCTTAAGGTGAGAGACTGTTATTTAGTGCAGCTGGTGTTGCTCTGTACTGTAGGCTATCCAGAACTTACCTCTGTCTGAACCATGTGAACTCGGTGAAGCCTTAAATCATACACTGCTGCATAAATGTCAACAGTGTCCTTTGAATCCAGCTGCTGCAGAATTCGGTCCAGTGCAATGAATGTGCCAGTCCTTCCAACACCAGCACTGGGGGGAAAAAAAAAACCCACCTAAAAGTTTTACAAAGAGATGGATCAAAGCTTTCACTATCTTCATGTGATACTTCTGCAAAGTGCAGATCTCCAGGGTGAGAAGCTCACTGTTCATATGGCATCTCTGGGATTTCGAGCTCTTTACAGTGGAATTTGTTTTGGGAAAAGGAAAGGACAGTCATGGTGGAGCCATGGAAGAGGTACCTCTGCTACTGCCTATCCTGCTTTCTGGTTTGGATCAGCTTAGGCTGAGATACACTGAAGACTGCATCTGACTATAAGTGACTTTTAAGTTTCCATTTCTTTCCAGAGGTGAACCTGTAGGCTTGATTCTATAAGGTAATTTGGCAAGTGTCTTACAGAAGGGCAGCCAAGGCAGAGTCTTGCCAACTTTTTAATGCCCCAAAGCCCCCAGCAGCTGAAATGCTGGGAGGTGGGGTAGGGGGACAGAAAGAAGGGGAAGAGGAAAGCTGGCAAGCCAGTGATAGTCTGACATATTGCATCACAGCATGATGTACAGGCAGACACAGGTAGAGTCATGTAACATACATGCCTCAGCCTACGTAACAGATGGAGGGGTCAGATGCTACATTCAGGTAATACCAGTAAGTATATGGCTTTATTAGAAGATATACACAGCATCACGCTGCACTGTCTTTCTCACTCTGCAACCCTATGGCAGCTGCAGATGGACAGTGGATCACAGATCAGGCAGTCCCTGATTGTGCCCTTTGTGTGTGCATGCATAGGGGTAGGTCACAGAGCAGAGGAAAAGCTGCAGCCCTGTGACTGCTAGAAATGGCAAAACAGCATGGGCGCATAAGCAGGCATTAAGGACAGGGAGTCTCAGTCAGAATGGGGGAAAGGACAAATCTGCCAGCTGGCCTCAACATCCACAGGTAGCCAGATTCATGCCTTGGTATATCTTACCTTTACAGAATTCCCTCCTGTGATTCAGATGTTGGGCCATAGCCAGCAGCACAAAGGCAATTTAGGAATGCAAAAGAGAGATGAGCCACTCCTGAAGTGGCAACTCTTGACACTTTCAGTGTCCTCTGATGGTCCCTCAGAGACACAATGGTTCCCTGAGAACCATTTTTGGGGCATTTCCAGGGTGAGATTGTGAGCAAGTGCATTTGCCTTGGGAATTGCTGCTCTGATGTACCTGGAGGCTCAAACCCACTGGCTGTCTCTCACGTCCTGTGGCTGTCCATGGCCTAACAGATACAAATACTGGAGACCTCCTAGGGGTATGCACAAAGGCTCTGTGCCGCTAAGATATTGCTGCTGCACATACCTGCAGTGCACGATACTTGGTCCCGTGTCTGGGGTCCTGTTGATATAATCCCTTACAGTTCTGACAAACTGGATCAGAGACTGGGTGGTCTCTGGCACACCATGATCTGGCCACACAGTGTAGTGGAAGTGACGAATGAGCCTTGTTGAGTCAAGCTGCTCTTCCTGTCGGGACATAGAAGTGTGAGTTATCAGAACAACCAAGAAAGGAGGATGCACACACACCACAGGCACCTTCAGAGTGAATGCTACTCTACTGCAGCTGCCACCAAAGATGAGCTGGACGTGATGCAACTGTGGTAAGTCAGATTAAACCTTCTTAATTTATCCCTTCAGGCTTTTTAAAGCCAATGAATTAAAAAAAAAGAAAAGGGAACCCAAACATACACTGCAGATCTTAAACTCTCGTATTGTCCATTCTGGGAGCACCGACTCAGACAGCATCTCGACAATCAGGTCTCCATAGTACAAGGAATCCTGGTCAAGGGGCCAGTAGTGATCACACTTCACCTGCAGGGAGATAGGAAAATATGGATTCAGTGTGGATGACCGCTGGAACCAAGGTCCCCCTTCAGCACTGGCAGGAGGAGATTTCAGCATAAGGCCTCCTTTGCCTGACGATAAAGGAAGAAAGGCAGTACTGGGAGCAGTCAGACTCAGAGGGTTGCCACCTCCTGCCCTATCCAGGGGCAACAATCAGCCCTGGGCGGGGGCTGGGAAGTGGGACTTCCCATCTTAGACGTTTGTGATGGGGGGAATAGGAAGTTCTCCACTAATGTAGTCTTGTGTGCACCACAGTGTTCTCTACCGCAACCCTCTCTTGTCACCTAGGCAAAACAACAACAGTTTCTCATAGCTCTGCATGGACAAGAGCTAAGCGTCCAGCACCTGCTTTCCTGCCTCTTGCTGAGATGTGACAGTGCAGTCCTGCTCTGAGCTAGTCAGTCTGAGCTGTCTCTCATCACGGAGATAGCTGGCTGCCTTGGCTTCATCTGCTTTCCCCCTCTCTTCAGGAAAAAATGGTAAACTAAGAAAAAATACCACATGTGTGTCACCAAATCACACTGCTTGAGGTTGGCTGATCTTTTTACAGATCTAGTCCCAGTTTTACAGAGGTGCAGGATATGGTCGTACTTGGGCAGGTGGCTTGCTGAGACAACTAAATAACCTACATACACTTCCACTCAGCAAGGCTGTTAAGTGTGCAAACGATCTCTTCGCTTACTATATTAGGGCTTAATTGTCAACAAGAATGCCGTTTATTTAATGATGATTGTTTGCTCTCTGGAGCTTATATTTAAAGTAGTAAAGTAATACTTGATAAGCAGGTATTTTTTGCTCATATTTGTCCTTTTATGTGGAATAAGTTTCTTACAACAGCTGGAGAAAGAAACATAGTGCTTTATTTCTGTTAAAAAGCCCTTCACAGCTCGTGATGTGACGTTGGCAACAAAAATACTAGCATTTTAAACTACCTTGCTACTCATTGCAGTGCAAGAAAAAGAGGAAAAATAATTTTATAACAATCAACTATAAGCAGATGCTACTTTGATATTGTAAGTAGATGGGGCTGGAGATAGTCCTGCATGTTTCCACCCAACCTGATACAGATTTTCAAAAGGATTTGAGAATAGAAGGAACTTGGTCTGGATTTTCACTTGCAATGCATAGAGGCTTAAAAATAAAATACACTCAGGTGACTTCTTATTACTTTTCTGTGGGAGGAAGCACAGGAAACTAATTAAGAACACCTCCATTTTCTACTTTCTCTAAAATTCATGAAAAATATTTTCATGGTCCTTCATTTTCTGTATGGATCCATAAGTTTTAGGGAACTGTCATGGCTAACGAAATAGATAGGAAGTCTAGAGTCACTCAGTCATAATCTCCTAAATGTAAGAAAATTAGACCAGAAGGTATCATGAAGCGCATGTGATGCTACCATTTTATCTGCTGATCTTGATTTGTTGCCACCTTTGTTTTCACACATCCCCACCCATTTTTCAAGTCTTCCCACTCATTTGAGTAGCACTTATGCAAGCAACGTCACTTGTCTTCCAGATGTCATGCCCTTTGTAGACGAGAAAGTGTTTCTTATTTTTCTTGCCCTTGTATGCTATGCATGCTTAAGGGAGCTATATTAGTACTAGTGAGCTAGACTAAACACCAGAAGCACTGAGGTCTGTTTCTAGCTCTAGCTGTGACATGGTGATGGTCATTGCATCCTCCCTTCACAGCCTTAATCCATCCTGTCTTTAGATTATAGCTCTTGCCTCTTACTGTATTTTGTTGTCTCCTTGACTGGGGCCTTTGGTGTTGTAGTGTGATGCAAATAATAAGCATAAACATTTACTAAATGTTAAAACAATCATTAATAATGAGATAGAGTCACTGCTTACCCGGCCCTTCTCGACACACTGGGTTACCATGACGATATTGTGAACGTTTTGTTCCCATGCCATCTTCCAGAACTCATCTTTGGTGCCAGGCAAAGGGCCCTGAGTTGCTATGTATTCCCTGCGGAAATTATTGCCCTGCAAATACAGGGAACTCTGTTAGTTTCTATCAAGGCAGAAAAACAGATCTTCTAGCAATGAAATGAGCCATGGGGCTGCACCCAGGGCTCTGCAACGGCAGTGTCCTTGCTGGGACAATAGCTTTGAGAGCTAAAGGGCTGCCTTGGCCCTAGAAGCAGAAGGCTGGTGGGAGCAGAGAAAAAGAAGACACTGCATCAGTGTATCTAAATACTGTTCTTTCTGTGGCAGTCACAGCTTTTCATTGTCATACTATGTTCAGCACTGTCTCAAGCAATTTTGGAACTACTACGTTTTTTTGTTTTATTTTTACTCTTTAATAAATTAGCTGAATTCTGGCTTGAAATCTGAATTGCTGAGGCCACTGCTACTCTCAATCACAATTCTCTGGCAAAGGGCCTTATTGTAAACTCAGCCAGTTTCATCATCCTGCAAGGTGCAAGCACTGTCAGGATGAGCTACACTTCCACAATGAGGATGCCACCTGCAGTGATAACTACAGCTATTGTGGACACTCTATAAAATCAGTGACCTTTGAAAATATGTCCTTGGCCAATTAAACCTGCTGTTTTATATAACTATAGCAGTCCAAGGAAGTGGCCTTAAATGCTGGCTAAATCACTCACAGTTAACTTAATGGCAGTCAGACACAGCCTTTCAGCACACCCACGAAATGAGTTCTCAGACTTTTAGCTAAAGTGAATAAATGAAGGAGGGGAGCCTTAAGCATCCAGCTGCATATTCAGTTTTAGATGAAAGACAAATTACCACTGGAGAAAGGGCAGTAAAATAACATCCTTGAGTCACTTACTGGTATGTAGCTTGCATTAATGTAGTCTGAGCAAGGGTCATCGTCCACATTGGAAAGCTTCACTCTTGATGTATCATCTAGGAAGACATTGATTACAAGAGACTTACGGTTAGGTCTTGATTTCCCCCATTTGTAGAAATGTATCTGTGAAAGGACTGGCAGGATTTTTATGGGGATTTTATATGCAGGACTAATTTAGAGGGGTAACTGTTTATATTTGCATTGCCTCTTTCATCCTGGAGTGCTGCGGAGTGCTCCAAACGCTCTGAGATGGAGGGGGTGAGACGGAAGCAGTGAATCCCGAAAAATTCCTCTGCTGAGTTGCACAGGACTTGTTACGGTAATGGAAGAGCCACAACAGCATCCTCCTTTGTTCCTGACAGCAGCATGCTGTACTGAAGGGCAGTGCCCAGCGCTGCCCTTGAAAGAGTGGCAGAGCTTCAGTGATGTGCCCAGCTGAGTGAGGAGGCCAGCTGTCTTCCCCAGGAGCAGCAGCATCTCCAGTACTACAGAGAGGTACAGAGCCCCCAAGCTACCAGGTCTCTGATTCGTGAGATAATGCCACGTAGGATCTGCATCAGAAGGACTTTCTTGTACGTCATGTGTCATGAGAAGAGGGAAGGCGCGTCGGGGGATGGACATGTGATGGGGAAGCTATGGCTGGCAAGAATACTGCACAGCTTTGAGCACGAGATCTGGATCAGGAGCACGTTCCCCAGCCCAGCCTGGCAGGCAGAAGGCAGATGCTGCGAGGCTGTGCTATGAGTGTATACAAGGCGCAGTGGCAGGGCAGCATGAGGAAGAGCCAGTCATGTGGGATTTGTCCTCAACGCACAGGATGTGACAATTCCAGAAATGCCAAGTAAGGGAATGAAAGGGGCAACCTTTGATGACAGGTCTTACCCCAGGGCAGCAGCGCTAACCTCACACTCATGTTTTGCATATTGTAAGAACTGGGACTGTATATCTTGTAGAGATATACACTGCCATGCAGAAACTCTCTAGCTCTACACTGTGTAGTAGGTTTGCTGTGTCCTCTGAGGAAGAAACTGAGTCAATGTGTCTGTCAGAAAGTACTGAATGGAAGCTACCCCATATGTAAACAACTCTACTGTTATTTCTACTACCCTTGTTATCAGCACTGACTGAATGCCCATAATAGCTGCAGCTTTTTCTCTCTAGAGTGAACGTTAGCCATTACATCTCTAGCGTGAAATGAAATTACTGGTCTGCGTGAAGCCATTCAGGGCCATCCATCATCTGCCTCCAAGCACCAGGACCTGGGCTGGCAGAGGTATTTCATCTCTGACAGGAAGGAGGGAAGGGATTGGCTACATACTCTATTCCACTACTTTTGCTGAAAAATGTGAAAAATAACTCATGTGATGCAATATTACACAATCCAACCTAAAACTCACAGGGCAATATATTATTGTATCGATTTTTCCCTCTGTTCTCTGGCAGAAGTGCTATGTCACACGACTGGTTTCGACCCACATCTTTTAAGTCCTGCAAAAAAAAGTGGAAATAAAATGTGAGGTGAAAATAATTAAAGGATGTGACAGCACTGAGGGACACTACTTATCAGCTCTCAAAGGTCATGGAGAGGGAATATTTTTTTTTACTCAGACTGAAACAGCTAATCACACTGGTTTAAGGCAAGCACGTGACTGGCAGGTGCTGTCCATGCTTTATCACATAGATATGCCAGGCAACTGAATGTTCCTGGCCTCAGTTAGGTAGATATCTAGCAGAGACTGCTAAACAGAAGATGCTCTGCCAGACGAAGAGCTGGTATCAGCATTAGGACAAGCAGAGCTCAGGTGAGACTCTCAAGCTTATTTTGATTTGTATGAATAGGACAAACAAATATAGGTCTTTCTAATGCATTAACCCATTGATTCAGCCAGCCCCCCACTTCATAAAGTGAGTCCTTTGTCTGCATTTTGTTCCTACCTCATACTCCTTGGACAGGAGGTAGTTGGAGTCTGCCTGGAGTTTGGTGAAGTATGCTTCAAACTGACTGACTTTGATTGGACTAGAATGTTCAACAGGAGGAAAAAAAAATCCAGTTACCACAGGATGAATCAAAGTCATAATTTATCCAACTGGCTATAAAGAAGGTATTTTAAGTAATTAAATATTTATCTTTACCTGGAAGTTTTACGGTTCCTAGAAATGTTTTCAAAAGAAAAAGAAACACTTCATCAGTGAGTGACCGAACGGACAGTTCATCCGTGATGCCATGTTAAAATAGTGCTCTTAGAAACAAAACTTTTGATGTTACCCTTTTTGCCCCAAGTTCAGATGGACTGTGAGTGGCCTGTCCCCGCGAATGCTCAGCCTTGCTGTAGGTCTCTCATGGCCATTGCTGGAATAGGAGGAAAGGTATTTTCATTTCTGTTTTACCATTATGGCTTCAATATAGGTAACAGCTGCCAGTAACAAACCTTACATTAGTAAGCTGGAAAAAAAGGGAATTTAAAAAATCTATTTTGATTTGTGGCCCTGATAATGGGGATGCCATTCTTTGCCATGGCACAACTTTCTTGTATTTTAGTTTGGTGATAGTGATGCAAGTACAGGATCACTACCAGGCAATAAGAGTTTTTTCCTGCTCTCAAACATCCACAGCCCAGCTGTCATTAAGGAAGGCATCCTGTGTTAAGATAGGCCCTAAGTCAGCTGACCCTCTACATGCAGGGTGGAAAAACATGTAGGTAGTGAGCTGTAGAAGGACTACAGCTTCCAGCACACCCATTCTGTAGATGAAGCCTCTAGCATATGCCCAGGTTCACAACCAGAGTAAATGGGAGCACCATAGCAGGTTTTGGGAAAGCCACGTTGAGTGGTCCTGATTCCATATGGTTAGCATTGTCTTTCTTCCTTTGACTGCCATCTCCTCCTTCAACATACCGCCCTTAGAAAGCCTTTTCTCCTCACGTATGATAAGGAAAACTACACCAGGTGCTTGCAGTCCTGCTGGGTACGTAACTCTTGAGAAATCACACTCTATCTGAAATCCTGTCTACACTAAAAAATTGCAATGAGATGTGCAAGGGAAACAACATGTTAAACTAATCTATGCATGCTCTATATGTCACTATGCACTGAGATGGTGCACAAAACTATACATGCAAAAGTAGACTTTATTCACTATTGCTACTGATTCATGTTTTTTCTTTTTCTTTTTCTTTTTTTTTTTTTTTGATGGCACATAGAGGAATATACAGAATTTGACCAAAAGAGTCTAAGAGTAGCCTTGTTAAAGGGCAATTCCATTCTGGCTAAGAGCTAGGACTGGTCAGAAAATAGTTTTTGTTCTATGGGAAATTCTGACATTTGAAAAGGCAAATTCAAAATAAAACAAACTTAATTCTGTGTCAGGAGATGAGCTGAATTTCAGATTTTCAAACTTTCCCATGTAACACAAATGTTTAAAATTTTTTGTTTTGGAAGCCGCAAGGAATTTCTTATCAGTAATGTCATATCTCTTTCAGTCATTTAAAATGCTTTCACTGGATACGGCGTTTTTTCAGATTGGAGACATTATTTCACCACTTAAATATATTGAAAATTCATTATTTGAAATGCATCTATAGTGTAAAATACACAACTATAATCAACAGGAAGCTGAGAAGTAAAGTTTAAACTAATCTTTTTGACACTGAGGTAATTTCACATTTTAAGGTTTTTGAATGAAATGATAAAGTCTAAATGAATTGTTTCAAGAGTTTTCTGCCTAAAACGTAGATGAAAATCCGATGAAACATTTTAGTTTTGACAAAATGCCATTGAGTTTGGATGATGAATCAGTCTTTCAGAAATACTCAAACATTTCTACTGAAAAATAAAAGTTGTGGGGATCCTCTATGAGATAATTCTTGCTAACATCAGTGAGTATTTGACTCTTTTACCAAGATTATACAGATCTCCTAAAATGTAAGTAAGTCATTAGTTCTATATTCAATGCATACAGATGTTGGGGGACCTAGATTTCATCTGTCATTTTTCTAAAAATTATTCAGTGCATTCTTCCAATTTGCTTTAAATACTATATTGCTCAAATCACCATACAATTTGACCTGACTTCATAACAGAGACTGATAAAAGAACTCAACTTACCTAACTTTTTGCCGGCAGACAAACAAAGCAGTAACAGCCACTAACATCACAATGAGAAACAAGCCAGCACTCACACCTTCAATAACACCAAAGAGCGACTCTAGAAACAAAATAGTGCATTCATATGTTTTGAGGAAAAGATTTGACAGAATCAGGAGAACAGCAACTTTTGAGAAATACCTTATTATCACAGCTAAAGAGAATATAAAGAAATTTAAGGCATCTAAACAATTGGCTAAGGCAGGCCTTCATTTTCTACGCCTTTTTTTCCAAACCTCATGCAAAATCTTTTACTCCCAACCATAGTAAAAAAAGGCAGAGCCCCAATATCTGGGAGCTGGGTCCTGTTATATATTGAAACTTTATTGGTCATAACTTCACCGAACATTCGCCCTTTCTTCTGCTGCCAGCAACTCTATCAAGCAGTCCTCTGGATTTTCAAACTAAGATTGGATAAGCCATGGCTCCAACCTCATTTCAAAGTAGCTTTCAGGATACTGCATAATTATTTTTTTTTGTTCCACTCCCCAGAAATAGCTCTGGATGCCAGATGGCTTTCAGGTATAGTACACATTCAAACACTTGTTATTGTGACTGAAAAATAAGCCTGAAACTAACCTGACTCTGTAGTGATTGGTAAAGAGAAGAAGGTGTCTGCAAAGAGTGGTGTAGGGAGTTCCTTTGGGTCTTCACTGAAGAGCTGGGTGAAAGCTCGTATACTGATCCTAAAAAAATAGTACAGTTACAGTTAGAGGTCAGCAGATGTTCACAGCCAGTAGCAGAAAAATAAAGGTTAACCTAGGAACCCACTAGAGATAACTAATAACTTTCTACTGACCACAGACAGCTCTTTATGTAGGTGTCTGTCTTAAGTACCCACAGCTGGGTGCGGGGAATCCTGGCCAAGCCGGTAGGGATGGAGGCCTCAGGGGTGCCCTGGCAGAGGCAACAGAGGGGGATTTTGCTGCTGGCGCACACAGTCTGACCGTGTCCAAAGGCAGGGCCAGCAGAAGTGGCCACAGTGGTGGGAGGACTCAGGAAGGCTACTCAGTGGTGAGATGCTTCCTCTTCACATGGCCAGGCTTGGCAGTGCTAATGGAGAAATGTTACAGTCTACTTAGTTCCACTGGTAATTCCCAAACTGAAGTTTTGGGAAATGTGCCCTAATGAGCATGGTCTGTTGTAGGAGCTCCTCAGCTCCTCTTTCATACTTTAGTGAGTATGAAAGAAGCTGAGAACCATGATGGGCTCTGCCTGCCACCTGCCTTGTGTGCCTGTGGCTGCCTGGTGGGCGACTCGCAGACCTCTTGGGAAAGTATTTGCCTATTTAAGGAGTGTGACTGAGCTGCTCCACAGCTCATATTTGCAGTCTCACAGCCTGGGCAACTGGTGAGCCTGGTCATGGCAGTAGCCCTGTTCCATCCTCTACAGATAACTGAGGCCCAGCTCTCCAAAGAACAGGTGTGCAGGGGGACTAAAGAAACTGAGGAACAATGAACCAGCCTTGCTTTCTCCTGTTAAGTACTCTTCTGACTTAGCTGATGGTCTTAAATTTTTTCCAAAGAGAGATTTAGTAACTGTATGAAAACTCTCTAAAAAACTGAAGGAGATAAAGAAAGTTATTCACTGCATCGAGTTTTGTACATAATGAATTGTAACACTCCCAGGCTACTGAGGGAACAGTTTATATACAATCTGTGGAACTGGGGAGCAAGGATAAAACTTTTACGAATTGCACAGTGAAATGCAGAGAACATTGTACAACCCAGTTATTAATCTACAGAAGCTCAAGTGCATCAGGCCTCCAGATAGCACTGTGACTAATAATTGACAGAACACAATTATCACAATAAATCTAACCTATATGCAGTCCGAGGCTTTAGGGGCCCATCGCAGAACTTTTGCTGATCCGGATCACATTTTCCTCCCAGATTTTCCATTTCTGCTCCGAGCTTAATGTCAAAGCTTTTATAGTCACTGTCAGGGCTTTCGGCACATCTACTAGCAAAATAATTTGTCTGGTAGATGCGTATAGAGTCATTGTGTTTGTACTCCAGGTAGGAAGGTAATGGGTGCTGCTCGTCAGGCTTTGGTCCTTCACTACCTACATCATGTACAGAGAGGAAGAGATGGTTTACTTGCCACAACCATTAATGGGATACAGTATTATAGGATCAAGGTGTTGATAGACATATTAAACGTTATCCAACTTTCTAGCATTCCTTGGAGGGCTGCACAGGCTACCTTGTGAGTACAAAGCTGCAGTGGTTAGGGTACCTAGCTTCTAGTACCAACCTTGCTATTATTTTGGGGAGAAACTTCAGACAGATTTCCTCAATAGACCTCAGTTTTCCCATCTGCCAAGCAGAGAATTATATGTCTTACCTTTCTGTGGTAAAGATCTGTGAGTAGTATGGAGGACACACAATACATAAACTGTTAACCATAGCTTTATCAACTGTTAATGACCAGGTTAGTTTTACAGCATAATGATTGTAAAGTCCAAAGAAGAAAATGGGTACGCGTGATTCCCACAGCAGACATGAACCTGCACACAGGAAATCCTATATCTCAAGATGAACTTACCCTTGCATTCCAAAAGCTTCTAATATGCAGCTAATCCATCTCCTGTGCAAAATGATTACACTGCATAAACACTGTTCTCTTCGTGTAATGGGTCTCCACAAACTCAAAAATTTGCTTCACTGAGAATGATGCTTTAAGAACAGGGCTGGGTATTGCTCTAAATTATCAATGCTCTACACCTTGTTGACTTGTGGCAGGATTCTTTGAAATAAATTTTAGTTTTGAACACAGGCACAGCATCTCCCATTTGAACAAACATATCACATAACCATCTCTCTATCTGGAGACAGTTTTGTTTTGATGTAGCCTTGTCTGGGTAGAGACTGTAGCTGGCTGCAACTTTTCCAGATACAATGCTGGAATAGGTATGTACTGGCTGAGTTTAATGCTATAGCATCTCTCTGCGCTTTTGCTGGAAATCTCTGTGATCAGAATCCTGGCTCCTACCACCTGCTATTTCATAAAGCAAGTAAAAAAATCCCAAACTAACAAGTCTAGTGTGTGCAGAGGAAAACTGCAACAAGAAATGACAGGAGCCCCTTGAAAACAAACTCATGATATAGGCCAAAGATTCAGGTAGACAAAAGCATGGCACCAAGTAGTCCCTGTCTCAAAGGCTGTTGCAATCTGCACACACATGACAGACAGTGCAGGCAGTGGAAATATCATCTCTGCTTTTTTAGCTAGGGGCTGATGGACAGAGAGATTAAGAAACTTGCTCAGGGGTCAAAAAATATGTCCTGGCATGTCAGGAAATAAACCCACTTCTAAAAACAGCATATTAATTGCTGAGACATCCATCTGCTTTGTCATATATAGGTCAGCTGCAGAAAAGGAGGTTCACATGCATGCTACAAGGATAATTTCTGCTCCATTTTACAGTGCTGCACACAAAGTCATTTTCCTCAGTAAGCAAACAACACCTGGATCATGCTACCTCTGCCTTCTTAGTAAGGCTTAATGGAGTGCTCTAAGAGCAAGAAAGATAGACTCAAATATGTTATTACCTAACATCCAAACTACCTTTTGAGATCCATGCATAGCAAGGCGGTTTATTCTGTGTGCACTGCCAATGGCATCCAGCATGAGTCTCCTGCTGTGGAAGCTTCCCAGACTTACATGTGAGCGTATGTATCCCAGAGCACAGAATGCAACTCTGCAGCTCCTGCTGACCCTTTAAGCAGAAGACTGAGTGCACAAGTCCCCAGGCTGAGGGGTAGGTATAGATCCAAAACCTCTGATGAAACCCAGCCACTAGATGAGAAGGTTTTTTTGCTGTGTACTGATGCGGTGTGCCTCCCTGCGTAACTCATACAGGTTATGTACAGAAAGAGTGCTATTAAATCATGAAACTTACCATCAGCCTCTCTGACAACTACAGTAAAGTACTTCACAGCTCCATTGGTATCGCTAAACCAGCTGCAGTTAAAAGTAAAGTTGATGGAGGATTTGGTAATCAGCACATCTTTTTTGTTCACTCGGATGTCTGGAGGTGGCTGAGGGGGACCTGAAGAATTAAAAAAAGAAACCCTAAGAGCATTAAATATGTATTTGTTGTGAGACTGAACTAGTTAGTAATGAAAATGCAGCTTGTAATACAGCTCTGCTCTGTTCTCTTTGTAATCATGGAAGTCTTCACCTCCCACAGGGAAACTGCCAAAGGATGAAACAAGCCAGCAGTGAGTTAGCCATAATAACCATGGCAGCTCCTCAGTAGAAATTCCTAGAGAAGCCCATACGGAAATGCATTAAAGTCTCATTAAATCTATGAAATCAGAAATTGTAGCTGCTAAAAATGACATTTGTTCACAGGTTCAAGCCAGGTATTTGGAGGCCAATTAGCACACTCACTGCAGAAAGTTATTAAAGCATCTAGATTTCTGCTTCCCTTCCCAGAGGAACAGCACTGATTCAGTCAGACACAGCACTCAACTACAGAGTACCACGTCACGGACTGACTGCAGAATTTCCATTGGAAATGTTCTTTGTATGATGAAAAGCTACACCTCAAACAATGGCAAGGCAGAACTAAACTGGAAAGCAAAGTATCTAGGGACAAGCCTTCACAGGAATAATGCAGTAAAAGGTGGTGATTTTAAGGGCCTATGTTGCTAAACCTTTTAAAAATCTGTATTACTGAATCTATATAGCATGTATGGAAAACATATCTAACACGTAAGCAGGGAGCTGAACTTCAAAAAATTTCAGATTGAAAAAGAATCAATAATTCACATGTTTATATGATGCTTAGCTAAATCTCTTAGATCTACAAAGCCAGGCTGCAATTTTTTAGGAAGAGCTGTGTTCCCTTGAGGTAGGGCTTCCAGTGTTAACCAGAGCCTGGGAGGGCAGCAGTGGTCAGAACAAACGTGGAATAGCTAACCTTCAGATAGGACTTGGTCTTGCTTTTGTGACATGAGTAGTTACTTCTTACTAAATCTGAATTTGTAGCATCTTTTGTGGTAGAGGAAGGAGACAACATGGTTGTAATTAACAGGCAATTAATGGGGGAGGGGAGAAGGTGGGCTGTTGTCTGAACTCTGTAGCTTAGCTCACTAGCTCCCAAACCAAACGTAATTTATATGATCTAGCATATCACAAAAATGTGGCTTTTAATAAGCAGCCACAGAGGCATCACTGAATAGACCTTTTGGCCTTCCTGTGCTTTATGAATTCAACCCTGGAGCTGTTCAGGCCCCTGCACTGTGCTATGCCACCGAATCCAGAGGCGCTGTGCAAGCTGGAGCTGCTCTAGGGCCAGCAATTGCAGGCAGTCAGCTGGGGAGAAGTCGATGCCTCGCAACACAGCGGTATTGGCGTATGCTGTCACCACCCTCCACCCTGCACAAGTGGAAGAAGCATATCAACAGCCCAAGGGTGGAGAAAGTGCAGAAGCAGTTTCAAAGCACATGCTTCCAAACTCCATAATCCTCTCCCAGCAATATATCTTCCAGGTGACTTGGTAAGGTAGCATCTTGAAGGAAAGGACAGAGAGCCCAAAGAGGCCCCAATGCCACAGTCCAAAATCCTTATTGAGGACTCTGTGTTCTTCCTTGTGCTGAGGATGGCTACTCAGTGTGAGGGGAAACAGATACGGAAAAGGGGCCAAGCAGCAATAATGAGGAGAAGTAAAGCTGTGTGATAAAGATGACATCTTTGGTGCTGCACATCATGAGTGACAGGATAGTTTTAATGTTTCACTGGCTATATTTAGTGGATGAGCCAAATAAGCAGGTTTTCAATGTAATAAGAGGCAATATAGTTAAAATCCTGCATGGTCTCTCACAAGAGGGGCCAAAGGAGAAGCTCTCCCTATTTAGGCCACATACTGGCAATTGCAGAGTTCAGAACCTCTTTTGCTGTTTACCCAACACAAGCGATTGTTTATTGCTGTTCACCGCTTCCTGCTACAGTGACTCTGTGTTCCACTTACGGTCAATCATTGTGATGGTGCTGTCCTCAACTACTTCACTCGTCATGTCTGCAGAATGCACCTTGATGGACACCAGGTATCGTTTGTGGGGTACGAGGGTCATGATATTAAGTAGAGATTTGTCTTTTTCTATCCTTTTGGAAAATTCCACTTCGTGAGTGTCCATTTTTTTGCATTCAACACTATATCCATCAAAGTCAGAATCAGGAGGAGTCCAAGAACATGCGATGGCAGTAGAGGTCTGGGGCCGACAATGAAGACTTTGTATCTTGTCTGGTTCTAGAGAAATGTTGAAAAGTTGAAGCTCAGTGGGAAAGGGGACAGGCATTTCATACTCTCTGCTCATCCTATGAGCTCAGACATCATCCCTAGACTCCACAGTAACAATTTGACTACAGCAGGAGGCCGGGAGCCAGAATTCCCACCTCTCCTACAAATGTGTGCTGTCTGCCTGGCTTCAGGCAAGGTGGTCTCACTCATTCTAGCCCTCTGAAATTGGAGCTAGTCATGACAAGCTCATCATGCTTCTGAAGCTTCAGTAATTAATTGTAAAAAGAAGCTGACAAAAAACACTCCCTGAACTCTTACCAAGAACAGCAACATTGGAAAGCAATGCATTTCTAGAACTCTGTTACAACTTATTCGGAGGCTACATCTGGTTAACAGTATCAGTCAGTACTGATGCCACATTGTCACCTCATGACAGATTTGATTTGCTGGGTAGGATGTGGTGTATCCATATTACTAAAGCATATCACAGAGGTATTCTTTGTCTATGTAATATTGGAACATCATTTACAACATGTGACATATAACAAGGATGGGATTTCACCTTCAGATGGCAGACAACTACATTTTAGTGTGGTTTTACATACAGGTTAAAAAAAGTAGCTAGGCTCTCATTTTAATTTTAATATGCTGAATCAAGTCTGATGACCTATTCAGTTTACTAAACACTGGAGTCAATCTGGAGCTGAAGCCCACCCCATGAAAGTTCTCCAAAGACCAGTTATTTTTATAATTCCATGTCACCTTTTCATCAGCCTGCTACTGAGGCTGACAAAGCTAGAGATGATGAGGATCCACAAGCACTGACTGTCAGAAACACACAGCAATGAAAGTCTGATTTCACAGTTTCAAATCTAGACCAGTAGGGTTTCATTCATCCTTCCTCTCTGATTGTTCAAAAACATTTTGATAATTTCAGTATCCTACTGTCCCTAATATCAAAGAACTTTGGATCTTCAGGCTTGTTTTATCCCTGAAACTGATTGATTCAAACACTGCAGCCAAACAGCCCCGCTCTGGATCTGAAGTTTGCATTATCTATTTCCATTTCTAATCTTTAAACAGTGGATCTTGAACAAAGCAAGGGCTCATTTTAGAATCCAGTTGAATTCTTTGCCAGTTATTCATGAATTTATTCATGGAAATTACTGACTGTGAGTGGCATTGGTAAGATTTGCAGCTTTGCATCTTCCGTGGAGTTTTAAGGTGCAATGGAAAGCATTACTTACTTGTTCTCACACTTGCAGACAGTGACTGACTGTATGTCTTCCAGCTGTCACCACTGACAGTTCTGACACTGAACTCATAGAGTCTTCCTGGTCGCAAGCCATTCATGATGCGTACTTTTGATTTGCTGCTGCTGTAGGGATTGAATACTGTGAGGGGATCTTTTGGGAGCCACTGCAACTCAAAATCATCGTAGTCTGTCCAGTCTGGGGGACCCAGCCAAGTGATTGATAAAGAAGTGTTTGCAACATCAGTAAACGACACAGTGTTAGGAGGGCTGGGTGCTACACAGAAAGAAAAAAAAAAAAAAAGAACGGAAAGTTTCTTATGAAATTTTTACACAAGCTAAATGAAATGAATCAACTATTATAATTTTCATGCACCGCAAAGTGGTTTACATTATCCCACGTACATAACCAGTTACTATAGCTTAGCTGAAGGGTGGTAACTTCCACAGCCATTACTTATACTCGAGCCTTCATAAGCGAAACAGTGCTTCGGTGGGATATTCTTTATCTTCTATGCCTTTAGTGACTCTTATAATAAATACAATTTAGAATAAGTCTGTTGCATAGCTGTGAACTGACATTAATTCTGCCAGATGGGACTAAACTAAAAACTCAAAGCTTTTGTGTCCTTTACCTGTTCTTCCTTCAGCATTTGCTGTATTGGTCAGGTCACCACTGTGAGTCACCACAACCAGGGTGTATTTTCTGCCAGGAACAAGCCCCTGGAAATGCCACTCTTTCAGGTCTTTCCTATGCCATGTTTCTTTCTGTGTCCCATTTGGGTTATAAAGATTCAGCTCGTAGAAGTCGACATCTCCTGCTGCTGGATCCCAGGTGAACCACAGACTGTCTGTCATATTTCTGTTGGATGCCTTGAGACCAACAACTGGGGCTGGTACTGAAAGAAAGGGGATAGATATTACTTTATGTAGAACATCCTTAGGGTGAGGAGGAGCAATGAGGTCAAGCAAACCTTATGTTTATCTCATAATGGCAACCATGTAATATTCTAGACAGACACCGCAGCTGGTGAAAAAGCCATCAGAAAGTACATTTACATTTCAATAGTTTTGATTCTTAATCTGAACTGCCATTGTCCCAAAAAAGAAGTTGAAATGTTGATAATGGATAGTTTTGTAAATGCTAAGCAGCTTTTTCCCACTCAGTTCCTGGAAACATCCAGTCCTGAGGTGACTGAAGAAAGTGTACCGCCATCCGGAGACAGTGGTACACAGTGGGTTACTATACAGTGGCCTCAGAGGATAAAGGGTTGCACAGAGTGTCAGAGATGCTTAGGGAACTCTGCTTCCCACGTGTGGCTGAATAAATACAGAGGAGCAGCCAGAGCTCACCACAGGAAAAAAAGTGTTACTTCACTACCCCATTAATCCTATTTGCTTTGCCTTTTTGTCTCATATGCTCATAGACTAACACTGCTAATAGGATGGGAGACAGCCATTTTCCTTTAAGGCTTACACAGCGTACGTTGGTATGCTCTTCCCCTGATCTGAGCACCTGAGGACTTTGCTAAAAGGCAGATAATAAACTTCTCTGCTTCATTTTCCCCCTTGTAACTACATCATTCAGGATTTACCTTCTCCTTCATTTAATGCTTTTCATGTAAAAAGAGCCAATTTTGATACTTCTAACAGTCGTTCTAATCTAGCATGAACATCTGACTCGGACTAGCTCACTGGTATCTCCCATGAACATCACACTGGAGATAGATGTTCTTGCCTGTTCTTCCAAAGACAGATGACTCGTTCGTGAGGTCTCCACTGTGGGTAACAATCACCATTCGATACATCCTGCCTTGCCGCAGGTTCTGGAACGAACATTGCTGCAGGTGCTGTTCGCCTGAAATCCTGTCATGAAGGGATTTGTCTGGGTTGTATAGGAAGATGTCATACGAATCAAGCTCGCCCTGTGAGGTGGTCCAGCTGAAGGACAGTTGGCCAGTGGTGCTCTCTGTGACCTTCAGATTTGTGACAGCTGCTGGAACTGGAAAGAAGGATAAACACAAGAGTAAATATCACTAGGCACTAAGCTGAATCTTTACTAAAGCAAGAACTCATTATCGGAATACATTTCTATTAAGCCGCAAGCAGCTAAGTAATGGCAACGGCAACTTTCAGAAGCAAGAGAAAAGCATTTATGGAGGTGCCACTGAGTCTCTTCAAGATGTTTGTATTTCCCAATAGGCCCAGTTCTGCAGTCTGTGCTCACACAGAACTCTCCATTAACTTCTACAAGAAGTTTGGCTTGAGTAAAGACTGCAAGACTTAGATCAAAGCTTAGACCTGTATATTCATGTCAAATCCTGGGCTAAGAGCCTTTAGACTGTGTAAATTAAAAGCTTGATAACAATAAAGAATTCAGGTGGTTCCATAATGGACAGACTGAGGGAAGCACTCAGCACTTTGGTTTAATATCTTTGTTATAAACTATGACCACATTATTGTGCTAAGTATTTGCACTTTCATATATCAAGCACGTATCAGGAAAAAGGATGCATAAATATCTGGAATCTGCTCTTATTGGAAGCTTTCCAGTAGCAAGATATACAGATGATTCATGCATTTAATGATATCTGACTGAGGAAAATATAAATAAACGGAGATGTTCTAATTACCTGTTCGACCAACAGTTTCTGCTCGTTTACTGAAGAGCCCGCCACTGACTGTCAAAACTTGTATTTTATACTTCTTGCCAGCTAATAAATCTTCAAATTTGTGCTGTTTGGCAGTAGCTGGCTCTGATTTGTTGCTCAGGAGGACTCCTTGCTCATTCAAGAGCAGAATGTCATATCTTTCAGCTACACCAGGAGCTTTCTGCCACGTTACTAACAAGGAATGACTGCTGTAAGCATGATCGGCAAACAATTCCTGGACAGAGGCAGGAACTGGAAGCAATAATTAAAGACAGGACATTACCCGGTGAAACATGGACCACTCAAAACACAATTATGAGTACAGTAATTAACTGAGGATCTCTTTATAAATATTTATGTGCATTTGTGGGAATAGGGATGTCTGCACATGTGTTTGCATGTGCAAATAATTCCTATACATAAAATACAGTCAGATGAAGTTACAGAGTATCACGGACAGCAGAAGTGGAAACGGAGAGGCAAGAGATATATTTAAATTACCATGAAAAGAAGGAGCTAGATAGAAAGTGGGATGAATTGGCAAACATATTAAAAAAGGCATATGAAAAGAACTGGAAAATAAAAAAGTTACAAATTAGTGCAAAATACGAGTAAATAGAACAGAATAGACAATGTGACCTAGAAGGTGCTGCACAAAAGTCAACACCACAGCAAACAAATGCCAGGTAAAAAAGAGAGGGGAAGGACTGAAAACAAACTGTAGCACTGTGTATGTGTTACACACATATATGTTGATACACAGTATTTTGGGGCGTTTCATAAGAAGCTTTGAATATGCAATGGGCTCTGCTGGCATGCAGTATTTGACCGCATGGACTCCTGTAGATCTGTGTGTCAGATGGATACAGGCCAGGGCTGGGTAGGCCTGGATTGCATTAATCCCACAAAGGCACACTTTGGTCCGGAGAACTGAATCCTGCACACATTTACCAAGGTAAAGCTCCTCATGTGACAAGTCTCACTAGTACCAATGGAGCCATACTTAAGCATTTACAAGAGTGAGGACCCATGCTCTTTGTGATAAAAAAAAAAAAAAAAAAGCACATCTTCTCATAGGTCTGGGTCTCCCTACACCCACTGGTAGGTTACATAAACAGGCAGCGTGTAACTTATTAAATAAAGACTCTGGTTCTGGGAAGTCATAACGCAACTTGTTCCTTGTCTCAAAAGAAACGTACTTGTTCTCCCAAAAGCTGCTAAGCTGTTGTGCAGGGTGCCACTGTTAGATTGCACCACCACCCGGTACTGCTCCCCAGCTTCCAGCTTGTGAAACATGAGCTCAGAGACATGCTTGGAGACACTCTGGGAATCAAGCTGATGGTTTTGCTGAAATATAGTCACTGTGTAGGAATCGACGTCTCCACCTCCAGGAGTCCAGCTCACTTTCAGGCTGTTTGTCATGCCATTGTGTGAAACGTGAATGTTTCTGACTGCACTTGGAACTGGAAGGAAAAGGAACACAAAGGCACCTGCTCACAAATTTCCTGTTTGATTCAAACTTTTTAATTCCTACTGTTTTTTTATGGCTAAAGCAAATGATTCAAAGGACGAAGAGCATTTGCAGGTATACATAATTTCACTCGTATGGGTAAACACAATAACACTGCAGACATTTTTGCAGGATTGTGCCATTTTAGAAAAGCAATTCCATGCCTTTACAGGAACAACAGCAAAAAAATGTAAGTTACAGGAAGATATAAACCTTTTTCTTTATCTGGATAACCTCTCTCTTCCTCATACGATGTTTTAGAAACTTCTCAGAAAATCTAAGGTTTTTTCTGCACAGTTAGTTAGCCATTTTGCACTTACAATCTAGCCTATTCATTTAAAGTGGGCAAACAGAGGAAGAAAATAACTTAAGCGATTTAGCCAGAGATCCTAAGTAAACAACTGGCATGCATGCCAATAACAGAAACCTGAACATTGGCATCTCAATACCCTTTCCACGTAACAAATCAGATTATCTGCCAACAATCAAATAGTGGTGACTCTGACATTTGTTTATTAAGGGAAGATCAAGTTAGCTGAAGTACTAGTACGGTTTTCAATGAGATCTGCTGTTTTTGTGCCAGGGTTACAGCAGCTCAAATAAGAACACAGTTCAGCCCTGATTTTCTGCTCCTCATTCTTTCCTCTAGAAAAGCTTCAACGCATGCTTTAAATACCATGTTATTTCTTACCTGTTAGGCCTTCTATGAAAGTAGCACGCTGCGCATCTCCACTGATTGTCAAGACAAGAATTTTGTATAGACGTCCTGGAGTCAGAGCTGTGAACTTATACTTCTCAATGGTATTTCCAAGGAAAATGGGTGGGAAGATCTTCATATCATTGAAGAGCAGCTGAATCTCATATTTATCAACGTCCCCTTCAGCCTTTAACCAAGTTACCTGCAGATCCTCTGTGCTCCTGTTACTAAGAGTCAGTTCCTTTACTGACTCTGGCACTGAGGAGGAGGAAAGATGGGAAATTTCTCAGTACTTATTACCATTATGCAGATCACAGCCAAAAAATAACAGCTCTGAGACCGTGCTCCTGAGCTAAAACTTTGCATTCAGTTCCTCAGGAAAGGCAATAGATTGCACTTAATTGTAAAGGTGGCTTTTTTGTTGTTTGTACCATACCTAATACTGGAAGGCCCTATTCCAGGACAGGGAGTCCACAAACTATCAGTGTAAAAATAATAAACAAATAATAACGGAGCCTGCAGGGAGCTTGCAAAGCCAACAAAAACAGGGTAGGGTCTATCTGTACAGTGAAAACGGTGCAAAGAGACCTGAGCTAGCAGAGACCTGGGACAAGCTGTCTGTGTTATGCAGCACCACACTACACAGTTCCCAACTCCTGCCAGATGCAGGTCAGCTGTTTTTGCCCAGCACTGCATCTGTGTTAATAAACTCAGTTTCTTAGCATGGCTCATTAGCTTGAATGTAATGCTAGGTCAAGACAGGCAGACGGCATGCAGATCCCTGCTGGCTCACACCCAGTCATCCTACAGCTCCTGCCCTGTGCTCTCCAACAGCTCCAGTTCCTAGAGCAAAGTGAATTCTTTGGGTAGAGTGAGGTCTAGTTTGTCTCCTCCCTATATGCATCCACAACCAGAAAAAAAAGTCTTGTACGTTTTGGCCTAGCTCAAGCACAAATAATAGGCTGATGTGGAAATCTGCACAACTCTGGCTTTCAGTCTTCCAAGCCTTCAGACTTAAGAGTTCCAAGTTCGTAACACAGGTCTCTCTTTTCACTTTCTACCTTTCGTTAACTTAAATATCAGTCACAAACTAAGTACTGCTTTCCATTTTTAGAATGACAGCCATTTGAACAGTCACACTCTCGGCGTTCAATGTTAAAATAACACAAGATTTTTGAGCCCAGGTATGGTAAACAGAAAAATATGCTCTCTACCTAGAGTGCCTCAGGATGTTTCTAGGGTATTTACTTACTTGTTCTGCCGTAGACCCTCGCACTAGTTTCATATTTCCCACTCCTAGTGCTGACAGTGACACTGTACTGCCTCCCTGGGACCAGATTAGTGAACACACATTCATTTTCGTCCTTAGGGACACTTTTTGTTTGGATGAAGTCATTGTTGTTCTTGATGATCACTTCATAATTATCAAAATCTCCAGAGGCGTGTAACCACGACACCTTTAAGTAGTCACTTCTTGCGGAATTGCTGACAGTAAGTCCCTGAACACTTGAAGGGACTGAAAGGAAAAACACAATTAAAGATTCAGAAATCAATAACTTACAGAAGTAACAGGAATTGCTGTAGGGCATTGTACTTGTGGTCCTTACCAGATATTTCTGAGGAAGCTGCAAAAAGCCCCCAACACGGATTTAAGCAATAGCCTCCCCTCTAAAATAGTAACTTTACAGTTTCCATTAGAGACTGGTTTATGTCATATAACACAACCATCTCCTGGATTTTCTCTTATATCGGAAGGAGTCTAGAAATGCACAGTCTTGATATTCTTTGTCATTTTAAAGCCCATTATCATGTTTTTTTTTTTATTTTGCTAGTTTACCAAGCGTAAAGTCTCAATCTTTTCAATCGTGCAGGAAGTTTCTGAAAGCTTTTCCTCATTACTGCCACCCTTCTCTGAAATGTCTCTATTCCTGCTATTGTCTCCTTGAATCCAGCATGACCAAAAGCAAAAGACATGGGTGTTACTCATTTATATGGCAGCTTACTACTTTCAGTAGCTAGTTCCTCTTCCATTCTTTCAGTGTCTGAATAACTTTTTTGGGGGGGATGTTCTGCAGGATACATGTGAGGGGCCAGAGGGGCTAAGAGCAGGAAAACGCATTTGAGTCAAAATGGACATCTGCTTTCTACTCAGTCAGAGGGATTCACACACTTCTATTAGGTTTTTCTCTTTCACAAAACAAAAAAATCCTTACACTCTTGTTAATTTTAGGCTCAAAAGCTTTGCTGAGGTGCGCAAGCTATTTTCTTTGGGCAGGCCAACAGACTTATTGTCTTTAGTCCCAGTGCTTTTCTTTATGACACTGTGACACTTCAGCTTTGTGAGGCCTTGCCACTGAGATTTTGCTATCAGCTTCAATGGAGAAGGATCAGGACAGCTGACTTTTATTCATGCTAAGGTCATTTAGTATGACATAAAGCAGCAGTAGGGGCATAAGAATAAGACCAAGTTTGTAAGGCTGTAGTTTTCAACCTCCAGTCTCCCATCCCAGTTTTGACTAGATATTCACCAACTGTTGGTAACAGCTGGCCAAAGGGGTTATGGTTATGGGGTCCACTCGGAAGCTCTCTTTACCTGTTCGTTCCTGGCTGAAGGAATAATTCTCATACTTGCCGCTCTTCGTGGTTATCATCACATTGTAAAGCGTCCCAGGAGTAAGGCTGCTGAAGGAGCATTCACTGAAGGATTTGGAAATGGTGAGAGTCTGAATAATCTGGCCATCGTGAGAGAGTGTTACCAAATAACTGTCTACGTCTCCAGAAGCCGGCAGCCAAGAAACACTGAGGTAGTCACTGCGACCTGAGTTATTTACTGTTACTCCAGTCACGCTGGAAGGAACTGTGCAACAAAGAGGAAAAACCAGAAGAGCTTTTACTAGCCAAATCCTATTGTGGTGAGAATGCCTGGAATGCGACCCTGCAAAATAAACAGGCCTCCACTCGGACAACTCGGAAGCTCTGCACTGACTCCCACGGAGCAGCAGTCACCTGCTTTTTTTGAGTACAGTGAGGGAAGCTGTTGTCTTTGGTGGCACGATCCCAGCACTTCTAAAATCCCAGAAGATGAGCCGTCCTCGCAACTTGCCATTCATCACTGATAGTAATAACCGCAGGTGCTTGTATGGAGCTGAGGCCCACGCTAGGATGTATTCCATTTACAATGAATTCTCTGACGCCTAGTGGCCAAAACAGGAATGCAATTTGTTTTTCAAGCCAACAAGGCGAGCTTGCTGGCTGCACATGGCCAGAGCTGCCATCAGTCTGTCTCAGGTACAAGACTATCAGGGGTATTACAGCGTGAGACGATAATTATAATGAATTATAATGAACTGCCACATTTTCACTGGACTCTGATGTCCTAAACTGACTTACCTCAGTAGAGGAGCTGGCCATCAACTGTCAGAGTCAATAATATTTGAAGATTTTACAAAATATTTCTATGTATTTTAAGCCTTTTAGTGTTATTCTTCCCCAATTAGTTTTCACTTTTCTTTTAATTGGAAAATAATTGTTTTCAAGGAGAATGTTAGAGGAAAATGCAGAATGCCTGGCTTTTGCCAAATTCACATAAAAAGTAAAAGTTTGTCAATTTTCCCCTGTATCTCAAAATCCAGAAGACTTACATTTCACGGCTCATGAAACTTTCAGAATTTAAGGCAATAGTAAATACTATGCTATACAGGTTATGAGGGCCTCATAAGGAATAATTTTTCCTTATGAACACTATTTAACGTTCAGCAG